TTCTTTTTCTTTTTTTTTAAGATAGAGTCTCACTCTGTTGCCTAGGCTGGAGTGCAGTGGCACGATCTCAGCTCATTGGAACCTCTGCCTCCCAGATTCAAGCGATTCTCCGCCTCAGCCTCCTCAGTAGCTAGCATTACAGGCACGCGCCACCATGCCCAGCTAATTTTTGTATTTTTAGTAGATACAGGGTTTCACCATGTTGGCCAGTGGTCTTGCACTCCCGACCTCAAGTGATCTGCCCACCTCGGCCTCACAAAGTGCTGGGATTACAGGCATGAGCCACAGTGCCTGGCCAGGTAAATCTTTTAATTCACCCTTAAATGTGGCAAAATACTTGCTCTATAAGAGATAACTGAAACCCATCTGTAGATTCCCATCTCACATTAAGCATGGAACATGCCCACAGGAACCAAGTGGTGGCAAAATTATCTACACAATGCAAATTACTCTCTCTCTCTCTCTCTTTTGTGACCAACTATATTTAGTTGAATTATCTTAGTGAAATCAGCATGATGTGACTCTATTGTAACTAGATATAATCCTGTATTATTCTGTATTTCAATTTCTGCTAGTCCAGTAAGATTATGTGCTATGTAAGATAGAGACTACATCTTATGTTTTTCTTCTAGCACCTGCAGGACCAAGAAAGTACTGAGATAACAGGTAAATCTAAGTACCAAATTTTTGACTACGCGAGAAAAGCTGTCAGGTGTTGTCTGATCTTCAATAAATCATACAAGTTCTTAGATAATTAAAAGGGAAAAAATTAAGTAAAATGAAATAAAATAACATCGAAAAATATTGCTTTATGTTTCTTTCCTTCAATCTGGAACTTTCAGTCATTCTCAAAAATGTTATTTAAGATACTTTGATGTATTAAGAAGCTTTGCAAAGCTGTGTAGCCCCAGGATCTGTGACCCTCTCAATTTTTTTCTGTAACTCTCAACCACGCTTCCTAATGCCATCTCCCATAAGCCAAAAAGGCATAATGTTCAGTTTCAAGAAACAATAAGATAAAAAAATGACTGCCATACCTTCAGGAGATTTTGTTAAATTTTCAGTTTGGTTCTGAGCAGGGAAATCCTTCTTAGCCGCAGAAATATCTGGTTTTGGAAGGCTAGCCACACTTGAGGACTTCTGTTCTGAAACCTTACGTGGCTCGAAATCTAGAAAACCCGAAATGAACCTTACAAAGTGATATTTTGTACAATGATATAATGACTACTACTGTTTGTATGAACAAACATTGAACAAGGTGTTTTACAATGAACAAGGTACCTTTTCTCCCACTCTCTTTAGAAAGACTAAATATAAGAAAGCCATTAAGAGGCAGGGATTCTTAAAATATGATATAATGTTTGCCTTTAACAAACAGGAACTTCAAGTATCGTACTGTACAGTAGAAAATTCCTCTATCTGGGTATTTTAACTACTCAGTTTACCAGAGGGAAACACTAAATTTTATTTCATCCCTAAATTCTTCAGCATGCGGCTCCTGAAAATGAAGACATTCTCCTACATATTCACAGCACCATCATCATACCCAAGAAATTAACGGTAATTTAACAATGTCCTCTCTTACACAGTCTCCTAACCAAACTTGTGCAGTTTCTCCAAAATATCTTTTACAGCTGTTTTTTCCTTAACCAAAGATCTAATCAAAGCTTAGGTTTCACATTAGTTTTTATATCACTTTAGTCTGTTTCAGTTTAGAACAATCATCCCATCTTTTTTGTTTTAATGATATTGATTTTTGAAGAGGCTAGGCTGGTAGTCTTACAGAATGTCTACATTTTGGTAGACATTTGTCTCTGTTTCCTCTTGATTACATTCTGGTTAAGCATTTTTGGCAAAAATTCTCTATAGGATTGTATTAGTCGGTTTTCACACTGGTTATAAAGACATATCCAAGACTGGGTATGTCTATAGGAAAAGGTTTAATGGACTCCCAGTTCCACATAGCTGGGGAGGCCTCACAATCACGGTGGAAGACAAGGAGGAGCAAGTCATGTCTTACATAAATGGCAGCAGGAAAATAGACAGCGAGCTTGTGCAGGGGAACTCCCCCTTATAAACCCATAAGATCTCATGAGACTTATTCACTATCACGAGAACAACATGGGAAAGACCTGCCCCCATGATTCAATTACCTCCCACCAGGTACCTCCCACAATACTTGGGAATTCAAGATGAGGTTTGGGTGG